CACTTCCGAATCTTGTCAAGGTGAGGAAGAAACTGAGGAAGAAGACTCTGTTGGTTAGCTGGGAGAGACTTAAACTGCCTCTCTGTTCTGTTCACTCGTTCATGCATATTCGTTCTGAAAAGCAAAAGTTTTAAATATTTAGAAGCAATATACACACATGTAAATAGTTCACTATAAGCTCTTTCAATTATTCTTTTTTTTAATACACAGAAAGTGTAAGTTTTCTAGAATTTTCTAGACAAAAATTCTTTTGAGCTCTAGTTTTATCTTACCACTCTATTTAACACATTCCAGTTTCAGAGGACTATCCTTTCCTCGTTACTGTTTCATCCTCAGCCACTTATTTCCAGAGCAGGTGATCAATACCTTAACACAAGGATCTATAAAATTTAACCACCAACCATCTTCCAAGTTTGTTTCACAAATCCAATTTAAATTGAATTAATTTGAATGCAGTGGTAAGCTTCGGTTACAGAAATAACAATATGTGGAGTGGCAACTGGGATCCTCAAAGCACTGGATAATGCTTTCAGAAGAACTGTAAAAGTCTCAGTTGGACCCTACCAGAGCTCTGGAAGACCCACAAAGATACTAACAGCATATTCCTCATAAGTACTGTAAACATGATCATATGACTGATGCAAGTTAAAAAAAATTTCCACTTCCCCAGGCTAAAAGTTTCATAAAAATGGTGACTCTTCTGAGATTTTGCTAGATTTGATTTCTGTCTAAACTGACAGAAATATAGTAGCAAAGCACAGTCATGACATCTCTAGAGAGATAATTCAATAAGAGATACTGACGCTTCTGACCACCTAATTATTTTAGCCAGTCAAGTTATACTGAACTTTCCCAACTCTTGTGTCAGCATACAGCAGCACAAAGCTAAAAAACTAGCCATTATGAGAGACAGCTGCAATTGCTGGCATTTTAGTTACAACCTCATTCTAGAAATTTGACCAGGTAATATTTCATTCATGTGTTACTGAGAACAACTTGTTCGCTGCAATAGCAATACTGGTTTAAAATTACATTCAAGGATAAGAAACACAAAAAACACAAGAGAAAAAACAAACTGATGCTCTACACAAAGCACATCAGCTTAGCTCAAAAACATCTTCCTGCAATTTTATCAGCAATAAAACCTTTGAACCTTATTCTCCAACATTTTATGCTCAATTACAAATATTTAGCAGAATGACTAACTGAAATACAAAAAAATTACGTTTAGAAGACAAGAACAAGATCTGGACTCATCTGAAAGTGTGCTATTGTCTTATTCAAACAGATGTTTCCAAGTTAACTGGAAACAGTATAAGGAAAAAAAAATCCCATTTATTAAGTACCACGATATGTAATCTCACCTAAATTTAGAATTACTTTTTTGAGACAGAGGTAATTTCATTGATCTCTACAGTGGAAATATGAATCACATTTCTTATGTTTTTACTGAAACAAGCATTCAAAAGCAATCCAAAGCCACAATTCAGCAGAAGGCTGAGAAAGATACTCCCAGTTTCTAAGACCCGAGGGTGCAATTATACCACTAATATAAATAAATTACAGGTCGGAATTAATTAGTAACAATCAGTATTAGATACTTTTAACTAACTCGGTCTTCGATATGTCCAAACTGAATTAGAGAATTCACTTTGGAAGAGACATCAAAGCACCACTCACACCAACCTCCGGCTCAAACACTTGTCCTGGAAGACAAATGAAACTTACATGGACAAACCTCAAATAGAAGAAATTATGTAAGTATCGCTCACTCCTACCAAGAACCTCACTACGATGTACACATTATGCCTGTGCTACATTGACTAAAGAAGGTCCAGCACATAGTAATGGGCCGCGTGATGTGGCTTTGTTAGCTGAAGTACAAATCTGCTTCCCAAACCAAGAAACAGGAAACGGTTTACCAGAACAGTTTTCTTGGCTGGACTTTTCCAGTCAGTCTCCACTTCCGTGCAATGAGAATAACTTGCTTCCTCGTCTATTAAACGGATTCAGTCCTAAAACTAGGTGTTCTTCATTTCTATGGAGCCAGCAAAACTCCTTCTGACTTAACGGATGTTATCAAATACGGCATCCATAATCCCTAGATATAGGCCTTACCTCTTCTGCAAAGTGGAAGTCTTTCAGGAATTCCCACCCATAATAATCGAAACATTTTGCATTTCTTTCCCAGCAAGAGATACTACTGTAGGCTGTACAGTCTCAGAGCATTTTATCTCCTAAGCCATCTCAAGGCACTCTTCAGGTTTGGTGCTTTCGAACTGACAAGTCTGGAGGCGCCGCCAGGAGAGCGGTGCAGCAGCCCTGCGGCGGCCCGGGCCCGGCGCTGCGCCCGGCGCGGGCCGGAGGCGGCCGCGGGGCGCGCAGCAGGAGCGAACGGCCCGCTCCGCTCCCGGGGCAGCGCGCCGACCCCCGCAGGGCAGGCCTCACTTACCCGTAGTATCGGAAAGCGTTGATGATCCTCCGAAAATGTTCCCGCTCCAGGCGTTCCTCCTCCTCCACCGCCCTGGCCGACGCCGGTGTCGGCGCCTTCGGCTGCCGCCTCCGCCACTCGTCGCTCAGCGGTGCCGCCCGCTCCGCCTCGGCCTCCGCGCCCATGCCGCTCCCGCTCTCTCCCGGCCACGGCAGCTGCTCCCGCTCCTCCCCGCGGCCCCGCCGCAGCCCCCTGCGCATCACCTTGGCGGGCGGCTCCCTCTGGCCCTGGGGACACGGCCTCGGCAGCGGCGCTTTCCGGGACACGGCGCACGCGGCCGACATCCCCCGCGCCCGCGGCACGGCCGGCGCGCGCCGCCCGCCCCGCGCACGAGGGTATCGCGAGAGGGGGCGGGGCTGCGCGTGCGCGCGCGCTCCCGAGCCGGCGCCGTGGGGTCCGCCCGTGGCGGCGGTGCCGCTGGCGCGCCTCAGGCGTGACGGGCTCCCCGGCCGTGCCCGGGCACGAGTGCCGGCCCGGCGCCCACAGCCCGCCACCCCGCCCGGCTGCCGGCTCCAGGCTGGGGTCAGGTACACAGCCAGCCCCGCTGGCAGGCGGACGGGGCAGCGAGCTCACTGTGCTGCCAAGGGGCACTAACTTCGCACGCTGCATCGAACTCAAGACAGGTGATGTTTCCTGGGAAGATGGGCACATCTTCCTCCACCTGACAAAACTTGTTTGACCGGGTGCAGACACCAGGTCATGCAGCAAGTCACACCGTGCACCTTTGCACCGTGCTTTGAGAAGAAGTGGCTGATACACGACTGCCTCATTTGTAAGGGCTCATCCACTTAGTCTTAAAACATAAGAACCCCACCATACCTCCTGTCTGTCAAAAGACGGGGCAGTCATTTAGTAATCCAAGTAAAGCAGCAGCAATAGGAAAGGGTTTTGGCACACTAACTCCTTCTCTGTGGAAACAGGAGCATCAGCTTCCTAAAATAAAGACTATTTTCACACTGCTTCTGCTCTCCTGTAACTACAGTAACTGACCAGGCAGTCAGTGGACACTGGACACACAGAGATAAAGTTTGTTTCTACATCAGTGTTTATGACTTCTCATACTGTTATTTTAACATCAGAAAATCACCTTCTAAATACCAAATGAATAATATACTTGTATTTCTGTCTTTATATAAAAGCCATTAGCCTTTTATTGAACACCATCACCTCTATCGCTCCATGTTTCTGAATACATGCCAGTCACTGAGCAAAGCTTTCTCTCACTTGTGACAGTCTGAAATTGCTGCCAGCAGATGACACCACTTCCAGCAAGTTATCTATTCTTCACTAAAGAATCACAGGCTTCTGTCATGCAGCTTTCCTCAACCACTTCACAGCTACCATAGCCCTGTCAATGCAAAGGCATTCACCAAGTGCAAACTAGAAAAAAAAAAAGTATGTTTTCTGTCAAGGGCTGTACCACCTTCAAACTAAAAACATTCTGCCAACATGCCAAGTAACAGGCCAGCTCTGTAAGCTTTTAGAAATGGCACTTGAAATACTTTATCTACCCAAAGACTCAGAAGAATTCATTATCTTTTGTGGCGGAGTTGCTGCAGCAACTGGTAAGAGCCCACAATTTAAGGACACCAGGTGAGCCTGGTCAGTTTCTACACCCATGTTATAGCACTGCTTGCTTATTTTACTACTACTCATGGGTGAAGTGTCAATGAATTTTCTGGATCCCTTTTAAACTTGCTAGTACTGTCTGCCACCTTTGGCATTACATCTTAGAAGGTCAGTGTCTGCTCCATAAAGTATCACCTCCACCTGTGTGAAGTATCACCTTAATAAAAATTGGTCAATCTGTTTCAAATGAGGACGTGTCCTCCAGACTAGTATTTGTAAAAGTTGGTGAATACTAGTGCTACATCCATTCGACTCACAGCTTTCAAGATACTGAAATTTAGTTGCTCTTCTTTCAACTCTGCTATGGACTCCCTCCAAATGGAGAAACCAGAACTGCCCAGCTCTGAAAACATGTGTCCACTGGTCTTACACAGAAGCCAAGTAAGACCACCTATTTTGTTTGCAAAAATTAAAAAAAAAAAAAAAATGCAGCTCCAAACTGTGGCATGGTTATAGAAGAACTGTGAAAGATCTATGCCATGAGCTCTAATTACAAGTTGCTGAAGCACCAGTTCAGTAATCAGTGCAAATGCATAGATCTGTATTAGAGCTCATCTATATTTTTTTCCTATAGCAGGATCTGACAAAACTGAGCTTCTTGCCTCAGCACCACTGTTGGACTACTTGAGAATAAAGTCAGGTGATACCATTGTTCATTCCTTCCCTCTTCTGAATCAGCACACATAGCAGATGGAAGTGGAAGATTGTCCCTGTGGGAGGGACCTCACTCTCGAGCAGCAGGAGACTGTGAAGAGGAAGGAGCAACACAATTCCCATCCAGCTTTGCTGCTGGGAGACAGGAGGTAGAGAATTTGTGCAAAAAGTCAAGCCCAGGAAGAAGGGAGGTGTGGGGGGAAAGGGTTTTATGATTTGTTCTTAATTCTCATTTTTCTCATTATTTCTGATTTTATTGGCAGTAGATTCAAATAATTTCCCAAAACCATGTCTGTTTTGATTGCATGTGAGTAACTGCTGAAAGATCTTCCTGTCCTTGACGCATGAGTCAAGATGCAAATCCATTACATTTTTTTCCCCTCTCCTGTTGTGGAGCTGTTTTGGTGGCTAGCCAAGGTCAGCCCTTCACAGCCATTCCATGCATTAGCTAATCTCTTGCAATTGTACCTTTTCCAAAGGGAAATAAAAACAAATATACAGTTTAAAGTCAGACAGCCCATCACAGCACATGAGCAAATGCAAGATGAAGAATTTTTAGTGCAAAATAATAGTACAAAATTATATTTGGAAGCATTTTGTTTTAAACACAGCTGTAATCTGATAACATCTTTCTCTTATATAGATTTAGGAGTTTTACAATAAAGTACTACATTTCAATCACTGACCAGTTCAGCTGTCACATATTGAGTAATAAAACTCATCCTTTCCTTTCTATGTCTGTAGTTTTATTTTTATTCTGGCTCATAAAAATGTAACCTATTTTCTAAAAAATGTAAGAGTTAGGACATAATTTATTCAGCAACAAGATATGATCCAATTTTTTAGTTTGTGTAAATATATATATACAAATTTTTTAACAAAGCTTTCACATTTGTCTGGCATTCCTGCTTTCTGAACATTTCATTCACAACATTTCAGTTTCATTTCACTTTCAACATCAGTTACAAATGTTAGAAAAAGAAATAATAACAATTAAAGAAATAATAACAATTATTTCTTCCTTCTTCCTCCCTGAAGCATGGATTTATTATGTAGTTGTCTGTGCTATCCCAGTCACTCTCTGCACAATATATGTACTATATCTTGTTAATGATGCATCTCCATTCTCTACATCTTATTTCCCCACCTTTTTCCAACAATCGGAATCCTCTTCAGGCTTATTTTCATTTTCTTAACATCTATTCCCAACTGCTCTAAATACACAACACAAAAATGACAGTGCAAACACCAGAGAGGTATTTAGCAAGTACCTAAATAAATTTATATAAAGGTTAGCTGTGATGTATTCAGTTACTGAATAAGCAGCACAACTTACACAACTATTTTCTCTGAGCATGTTTATCATTGATAATATGCTCCTAAGAATATTAGAGGCAATCACTGTCATTCTTAAGATCATTTCAAATTACAATCTTGCATGTTCAGATATGCTTATTAATCCAACAGAAGTGCATTTTTATGGTTTAGTTTTATGCACAAAAATCTTCATGTTCTTTAAAATGTACACATTCAATCAGATTTAAAGCTCAGCCAAAGCAGGATTGATAAAAGGAAATTTAAAGAATGCACTTTTCATACTCCTAAATGGAGTCTCTGTCTCCATATCCAAGAGAGAGTTAATTACTTACAAAATCTCTTGTGTTATATGAAGTAGCATTATGGTCATACACACAACATTTGCTCAGTTGGTTGGCTTGCCATATACGACAGTCTTGGTGTTTTCAACTCATGTCAAATGGAACCCAGGCTTTCTACACTGTCATGCTGTGACCTGCTGATCTAAAATAAATACGAAGTACATATCTAACCTGTAGTGTTTCCAAGCGGCATCACTGTATATTAGTGATAATATAATTCCACTAACACATTTTTTACATTGATGTTTTATCCCATATTCCTTCTCTTCCACTTTTTTTATTATTATTTTATCATTAAGTAATAGTGGATTCAGCTATGATCTTAGAAGATCTCATTTCAAGGAACTCACAGTTTTTACTGAAATTGACTGACAGTAATCAGCAAACAAAGAAATAGAGATCTCTTTCATTCTTGTAGTACTTTCAAATGGAAGTATTAGCCTCTTGTTAACACAGAATAGGATACATAGATTCAATTTCAAGTAACATTACTTACTTTCTTCCCTCAGCTTGTTTAATTCCTGTATTATATCACTATACACATAGGATAAAAGCTCCTCTTGGGATTTTGTTCCATCCAAATAATCTGAGGAAGACAAAAGAAGATGTGCTCATGAGTTCTATGCCAGCTACCTGTAATGGCAATTGGCAAAGTTTTCAGTATTCCTATAGATGCTATCAGAAGAGAAGAAAAAAATAAAAACCAAGAACAGCAACTCTCATTTTCCTCTTCCCCAAACTTGTTTTACATGTTATAAAAACAACATAATGGAAAATAATTCTAGTTAATAATTTATTTATAATTTTTTGTGGTAGAAAAGTCTCCGTAAGTGTAATGGTAATTATGTGACGACAGTGGAGCAATGGAAAAATTTGGCAAAAGGGTGTCTGTGCAGTAGATAATTTCAGGTTGTTCAGTTTCAGCCTTTGAGCAAGCTCTGGAGGAGCACTGCAGTTCTCACTCTTGCTGCACAGCAGGAAGCAGTGTGCTAATGATGATGAGGCCACCCTACTTCCCTCCCTTTCCCTCTGGCCTCACTCCAGAAGCAGGTAGTCCAAGAGCTGTGTTAGTGTGAGCATCATACAAAATTGTGGCACTGCCCCAACAGCTGCCCCAGCTTTGACATGTCTCATGAAAATATGGTGACTGTAGTGTGGACAGTCAGCACCTAGAAAGTATCTTCAGCTTATTACAAGACTTCACCAGGATTTCAGTTTTGTTCTAAAGAACTCTGCCAGTACATCAGCTACCGCCTCTGAAACTTCCTATTTAGACATAAGTGTGTTATCTTGTTAAGTGGACTTAATTAGTGATCATAGCATTTCTATTTTTTAACTTCCTAATTTTTATTATTAAATAACAAAAACAAAATCCCTATAGGCTTGAAATATAAACTAATAGAAATATCAAAACCTACTAAGTGCCACAAAACCATTTGAAGAAAATTTTGTCCCATTAAAAAACAAAACCCAAATTCAACAAAAACTGCACAAGTGCCACACTTAAGCATTTTATAAGTTTAAAATTAGAGATACCATACCAACTTCCATACTTGCATTCTCTTCCAATTCCTTTTTATATTTCAAATACATAGGCCACACATGTCCATCGAAGTACCCTGGTGTATCTGCTGGCTGATAGACTCTGGTACTACAGAAAAATACAAATGCGTTCCCATATAAGTCTTATATCTTCCCCTAGTGTCAGGTGGTTAAATAACAGCTTTTATCAAAAATAAAAAAGGATAGGCTGGCTGTATGTTTGTTGGAGTCAAGGAGGCTCCTTTGTTTTAATTCAATCTGTGACATGAACTTCTGCTGTCTTACCTATTTTTGCCAATCAAGCCACATTTAAGATAAGGTAAAAGTTTGGGGGTTTTAATCTTTTTAAAAGGTATTACAGATAAATTAAACTGTATTGACACTACTTCCAAAATAAGCTACTTTTTGTGTATTTACTAGGTATACAGATTTCTCAAGTTTTAATGACTAGTTGTTTAGTCTAGACTCTTCCATTCTGGACACTAAAGTCTTAAGTGAGTCTAGTGAGAAACCAAGAAAGAAAACCTGTGGGTATCACCCACAGGCAGTTGAAAAGAAGATTTCTTCACTCAGCCAGCAGATTCTGACTTTGTACACATATATTATTCCAAGCACACAGTATGCTCCAAATTTAGAGGCAAGTCAGACAGCTCAAAAATTTAGTTTAGATCCATGGTAAAATTAATGGACAGTCTAAACAAAACCATACACTTAACCCACACATGAACATCTTTACTCAAAGAATAATCATCAATTAACTGTATTTAAGCAAGAATAATAGTGCTTAGTATTTTTTTTAACCATTTCTCATTTTCAATGTAGGTTTACTCAAATATACAATCAGTAATGAAATCATTTATCATGACAATAAATTCTCTTTTTAGCGTTTGTAAAGCACTTCATACTTTAATAACCATGTGCTCTAAAATAAAAACCAAACCAAACAAACCTCAAACTAACAACCAAAGGATAGATGATCTTAATAGTTTACATTTTGCAAGCACTAAAGAAAAGCTAGTACAAAAGGACTACTTCAGTGACTCTTTTTAAACAAGATGTCAATAATCTTACCTCCTTCTCCTTTTGCACTCTTCATAAGGAAGGGTCAAAAAATATCTTCTATTCCATACTTCATTAAGTGGCCTAAGATAATAACATAATTAGTTCCCTTTTCCATTTTAGGATAGCTTTTTATTTACCAGGTCATATATTACTGCTTACTCATAATTGTAAAGGAGAAAGCCTTCAACAATCAAAATATAAACATTTTTCAGATTGTCAGATGTATTCTCTGGCTCTTCTTTCACAACACCTGAGCTTGCTGGGCTTTTCATCCAATTGCGAATACTTGTCACCATTTCATCCATATAGAGGGCATCAAGTACTAGATGAAAACAAAGTTAAACATCCCTTAAAAATGAAGAATAAAAAAAAAACCCCTTAAGTATCCCTACATTAATCAGTAAGAATCAAATAATCTACATACAAATTTAAACAAAGGGGAACAGGTTACCCCAAAGATTATATCAGTAGTTCTGTGTTTACTATTGATGATTTCCTGAAACCAAAGCTTGCATGAGGATTGGGGTATTTCTGTTCAGTGTAATCTCTCTGAACTTTATGGCATCTAATATTGTCTGAACTGAATTCACAGCTTTTGACTTCATGACAGAAACTTCAGGGACTGCTCTCAGCTTTCACAAAACTTGTAAAAATTTACTAACCCTGAGACCTCCACCATTTTGTCAATTGTCAGAAGGGGGAGTATGTGGGTCTCAGATTCAGTCAAGGAAAGAAACTGAGAGTTTCTAGCCAGGCAAAAAGCCTGGGAAAGAGCTGGAAAAGAATGTAAATAATTCTTTATCTCTCTTGTTTTTCACATTGTTTATAGTTAAGTTCTATCACTGTGCGTCAAGCACTTTGCACCAATGCTGTGGGTTGTTTTCACTTCAGAACCAATGAAGTTGGTCCTCGCGAAGCTCTGTATAAAAGAGCAGTGTATTTTGAATAAAGGGGAGTCTTACTTTCACAGCCTTCTGAGTCAAGTCTATTCATTCCCGTCCTGCCTCGTCAGCGACAGGAGTAGACACTCAAATTTTTTTGCTTTGGGTTTTTATAAGGTTCATCAGGTGGGCATGGAGAGAGTTAAAAGGACCATGGTGTACAAAGCAAAATAGCATAATGTTACACCTGTTTTTGTCTGTAGACACACAAGAATATATTGAGGAAGTATTAAAAGGTAGAAATAAGGTAGCTTTTGCATACCATAACAGCAAACACATTTCTAAAGAGCTTTTAAGAGCAGCATTAAACCTAGATATTCAAATAAGAATGTCCATTTTATCCCTCACCTTTCACATTCCATTTATAAAGATTGCATCGTTGGTAACAACCAGTTTTCAAGTACAACTGAAGGGTCTGATCAATATTCTCAGTAATATATTTTGTGATCACAAAGTATCAACAGAGATTAGCTATTAACCGAGCAACTGTTTACAAGTAGATATGACCTGACACAAAACACTGGCCTAAAGTGGATCTGGATCTAGAGATCTCTAGGAATAAACAGAGCCAGCATTAATCACAAACTTAAAAATGTATGTTCTTTATGTGAGATGTGACATTAAATAAAGGTGTCAGGATGAACCGACTGACTTGGAAAGCCCGATAGCAATATCCCATGAGCTCAACAGCAAAAGCAGAAAAAAAAGGGCCATTACCAAGTGATGATATTAGGCTTATGCCAGCACTGCAAACCAAGATTTCTAAGTGAACAGTACCATTTGCTACTAAACAAGACACAAGTGAAGAAATAGCGGAAAATATTCAAAAGAGAAAAGGAAAGGTCAAGCACTAGCTTGAGCTATTTACTTGTTAAGCAAGTTTTCTTAGATGTCTCAGTGAGCTGAATGATATTAAGAAGACGATTGCTCTGAAACAACCACTTTTTTACTGCCATGCTTGGAAGGGAAGAGTGCGAGGGGATGAGGTGGAAGAAGCGTTGAAGCTCAGCACAACAATTTCAGTACAATGTTCAAAAGCAGTGCATCAGAGTTACTGACCATCATATAGCTTAAATCCATGTTCATCTGTTTCTACTTCAGACTCTGGCTGAAGGGGGAAAAAAATTTAATTTTTTCAAGGTTGCTTTTATGACCATGCTTTTATGAGAGATACATACTCTGGTTATAATTGTAAGGATACAGTTTTGTATCCAATTAGTTAAATTTATCTTCACCATTCAACTGATGTAAACAATTGTTAAAATAGACTACAAAAACTTTATTTAATCTAGAACAACAAACACTCAAAATAATTTTCCTTAAATTCACTAGAGCTTTACTTGAGAAAAGTGTGTGTCAAAACACAAGCTGTTTTTCTGTTTTGACTTGGGAGACAAAGAACTACTTATTGTTGTATGGGTGTAAACTTAAGATAGTATGATTAAACTCATTAGAACAGAAGGCCTTGAGAACTGCATCCATCATACATCCATGCCTTATTTAAAAGAGTGACATAGAAGACAGGAAATTTATTTTGGCTGAGTATATTCAGTAGTTTGGCAATTTAAATTTCAGTTACCACAGTGCTCATGTTATGATTCTTATGAAATTAACATTACTTTAAGCAGCACCAATTTTAAAAGTTCACCAATAGGAGAACTGAAAAAATAATTGAAATCTACTCAAGCTTACTTTTACCTATCAGGTTTTTCCTTTAAAATTGTTACCTTAAAGAAGTCATCTTGAGAGATTACATCACAGTTGGGAAGCATATTCTTAAGTTTTTCTGCTAACGTTGTTTTCCCTCCATTTGTTACACTGTTAAAAAACATTGTAAAAAGTTCACCAAGGCAAAAATGAAACTTATAAACATATGTACAAGCTCACACATATATTTCTGTATACTTATATGCAAATAAACAATACAACCTTCCCCAAATTTTAGTCACATTTTAGTCATAATTTAAATACTCTCTACCTCTGGATATTTTCTGCGATATTCCAACAGTTTTCAATAATCAGTACAGTAAATCAAGCAGTGCCAAGAAAGATGCTACAGACACTTGCACCTGAAGCTTCCAACTGACACAAAACTGTGTGTTTTATAGTTTTATAGCATGTAACTCTTAAGAGTTACATGCTATAAAACTATACAATTATATGTAGCATTTGTAATCCAGTTTAAAAAAAAATGCATTCAGAAATAGAAATTACATCACATCATTCTGAGAAGAAGATCAGTCTTAAGCTGTAGAGGAAATTTAATTTTGTGTGACTTACCCCCCAAGGCCGATAACCAATACTTTCATAGTTTGTTTTCGTCTCACGTCTTCCTTTTTTACTGTCAAAAACAATAGCCAGTGAAAAATCTTAATTCAGGATCAAGAAGGCAACTATGGTATTAAGAAACACCAATTATACAGTTAATTTATTTTCTCCTTGTTGTCTATCATTTTTCTTTTTGCAAAGGCAGTCAGAATCTTAGCTACTCGTTCTAGTGCTGACAGAAAACCTGCAATATATATGCCTCATCTTAAATTCCAATTTATTTTTGACAGTATTTTAATAATTTGAAAGGAACTCTGGGAGACTCAATTCTAACAATATTAATATCATATAAGTTCCTAAAGAAAAGCACAATCACTAGCTCAAGCATTAATATAAAAAAGGCAAACAAAAGCTGTGGTGGCAAAACAAACAAAATCATTAAGAAAGAAACAAATGGCATGCTAAAGAGAAAGACATTTTAAAATTTAATGAAGACTTGCAACAAAGAGTATGTTCAAAAACTTATAATCCTGGTGTCAGCAATGCAATACTCACTGTGTAATTCACTATTCCCTTTCTAAGGGTATTAAGAGCACAGACCATCCAAATCTTCCTCCTCTGCCCTAGTACAGATTAAACTGGAAGCATTAAAACTACTGCAAGGGTAGTTTAAGCCATACTAGCTGACTTAGTATTGAAAAGGACTAGGCAGCACTTATGTTTCCCTGAAAAGATCGAAGAGTAAACTCTAAAGGTTAATTTGTCCACCATATCCCTGCTGCTGCCACCATATCCCACCTGAGGCTCTGACTGCCTGAATACCTTCACTAGTCAGAGCTGCCAGGAGACACAATTACTGCCTTGCCCCAGCTCTTTTCCCTGAACTGTCTTCTAGAATAGGTTTGTTTAGAGTACATAATTAACTATCCTGTAAAAATACTGCAGCTGAAAAACCTGCAAAAGACAGGGGAAACAATGTTTGTTTTCAGTTTCACACGTCAGTTTATAACCTTTTCACGTGCTCTATCCTCCTATGTCAGACTTAGGAAGTTACGACCTACGACACCTAAGACCTGAAAGGACTGAGCAGGTAAAACTCTCCCGGCCTCCAACAAACATGTATATGTATTGTACTAGAAAAAAGACTGTTACAGAGCATCAGTATGAAATCAAAACCACATTGTTTCTGTGAAAGCAAGCTCTAGACACATGTAGAGCCTGAAATAATATCATTGTCTTGCATTTGGTGCAATGACTGCAAGTTCCACTGTTTCACATGTCTGTGATATGATCTTTGCATACTTAAAAAAAAAACAACTCCACAACAAAAGCATATTGACTAGTCCCAGCCATCACCCATATGATAGCCATTGCTTTACAATGGTGCTGTTTATCTACATTAGTTGGCATTTGTGAGTTTTTTAAGTTAGTACACATTAATCTTCAAGGAATATTGTAATTTTCAAATTCGGTGTTTCATTGAATGCTTATAGTACTGGCTATCATTGCAAAGAGGGAAGACAGGTAATTTTTTCTGAGGAAGTGATGATACTCAGGCTATTTTAAAAATAAGATTTAAAAGCCTCTTTCTAGAAGTCACCAGTAAGATACGTGTTGCGGAGGATTACCCTTTGTGACACAAAGGGTATTACGCAACGAACCGAACAAACGTGTTCACCTTTGGACTTTATTTCAATACCATCATCTATATGGAAATTAATCCCAGTCTACGACAAAAGGCACCATCATAAAAAACCGCACCAGCTCCTGTGCCGCCCTGAGTAATGTGTAAAACAAATTTCAAAAGCAAATTTGTCAGAAATGCTGCAACACAGAAATCCCACACTACTCTACCCTGGGTCAATCTGTCTTTTCAAATAGAGCACAAATCCACGACAGCGCTAGCACATCACTGCAGTCACCCCGTTTCTAAGGGCATACCGCGGCAACGCTCCCACGCACGGGGCCAGCCGAAGGCGCACGGACCCGGACCGGGAACGTCTCTCCCAGGCACGGGCCCGCACAGCGGGGCTGGCGGAGGCTCCCGGCTCCAACACCTCAGGGCCTCCGGAGCCCGCACTTAACTTCAGCCACGCCGCGACGGCGCTAGCGGCACACCCTTCCGCCAGCCTCCGACGTCCCGTCACGGAGCCAGGGCGGTCCCCACCCCACCCCACGACGCCCCGGCCGACTCGCCGGGAGCAGCCCCTGCGCAGCTGCCGGGGCCGCCCGGCCCGGCCGCGCCGCCGGGGCGGCTGGCGGGGCTCGGGCGGAGCGCGGGAGGGGAGCGGCCGGGCTCACGGCGCGGCGCGCGCTGATTGGCGGCGCGCCGCGCGGGGCCGGGACAGCGCGCGGGGCCCGCGGGGGCGGGAGGCGCCGGCCGGGACGCGCCTCTCGAGCCGCCGCCGCCGCCGCCGCCGCGCACGGGCGCTGCCGGCGTTCGCACCGCCGCCTCCCGCCGCACACCCGCGCCCCGGCAGCCCATCGCCGTCGCGCTGCTCCCCCGTCCGTGCTTAGGTCAGCCATGTCCAAGCCGCCACCGAAGCCGGCCAAGCCAGGTGAGGGAAGGACAGAGTGGCCCGGCCCGTCCTCGCCGTGCCGGCGCGCTGCTGCCGGCACGTGAATGGCTTGGGTTTCGGGTCTGCGCTCTCAGGCGGGGCCCGGGCCGCGGTGGGAGCGGGCAGAGCCGTCCTTCCGTTCCGGACCGCGCCCCGCCGCCATGAGCCTCGGCGCCGCACGCCCGGTGCCGGCGGGCAGGGCTGCTCCTCCCGGGGCTGGAGAGCAGAGGGCCGGGCCGGACCCCGCGCCCGCCCTAGCTCGGGAGGAGGTTCGCCAGTGCTCCCGAGTCGGAGCCGTCGCCCGAGGCAGGCTCCCCGTGCCGTGGGCTCGGCAAAGCCCTCTGGCCCCGGCCTTGCGCTTGCCGCGGCGATGGCACTTGGAGTCGCGGCGTGCCCGGGCGGCGGTGGCCGTGCGGGGCTGCTGCTTGCGTAGCTTGAAATGCACAGGAAACCTTCCGTCCTTTTAAGAAACAGCGCTGAAGTACTCTGGGGTTCGCCTCGTGATTTCACGGATTGGCAATGGATTAACGCGTAAAATTAGTTTTATAGTATAGTCTCATGCAACAGTCTTCATCCTCAAAGGTGGAATCCGCTGTTTTCCCTTGTAGGACTCCTAACAGCCAGACGTTAAATGTGCTCCTCGAAATTCAAGTGTCAGTGTGCACCTCACCCTTTATAGTGCATTTAATCATCAATGTGTAATGTGTTGCTCCTGTGTTTTTTACAGAAAAATTTACTGCAAAGCCGGTCTTCTAAACAAATTAGTAGCAACCATACTTTTTCTAAAAATAAATTGAAAAGCTATTGGAAGTTGCACAGTTTTAAATCTTAGCATAGAAGTGGCATTTTTCAGGTAAACATACATTCTTCTGTCACAAGTTTAACCATTACCTTTAGGGTTTTGGGGTTTTTTAATTGAGGAATTGATCTGGAAAAGTTTAATGGCTATTTATCATGTTTTTGTATCATCTGTCAGTGATAAGCTTAAATTCTTAATTAGAAATTAAAAATCCACTGTGATTTTAATTAAATAGATAAGTGGTTGATGTCTCCCAAACCAGGATCATCTGATCCCTAAGTACATCCAAATTTCAATTTTTTTTGTGCTTGGAATACTGTTTGAAATGCTGATGTAAAAAAAAAAAAAAGTCTTAATTCTTAGCCTAATTGAGTATTTTCACTAGACAGATCATAAAACAAATTTTTTAATTTGAAGTCAGTAAGTGCAGAAACAGTTTAGACCATTTAAACCATTAGTCTCATCCTGTCTGCAGAAGCAAAATCTGCTAAAGCTCTCTGGTTGTAATTTCATCTTCAGAAGAATTTCCTCTGCCCTGTAGTTTGCTAAGCTTCTTTGAAAACAGCTTACTTGATATGAAAAAGACAGTAATAAAAGCATTGCTGTTGTGGACTCTTACTGAAAATAATCAGTACTGAGGACATCTGCAGGCTTCTGAAAGGATGTGGTGTTTCACAGCTGAATATGTGTGAAAAATGGGATTTTCTGAAGACGTTGGTTACTCAGTTTCCCGTTTTTCAAGACGATGAGTTAAATTTAATGTGAGATTCTTAAGGAGTTAGAGGCTATAGCCCTGCCTGACTTACAGGAGCTCTCACTGAGAGCTCCCAGCTCTCAGACATACTCTGTCTAATACTAGGTGTCTCTGCCTAGTTTCATGGGTTGCAGTTTGTGGTGTGTTTGATCTGACAAAATGTGGACTGTCATGAAAAGGACAGGTAGGTCCCTTACCACCACCATCCCTTTCTGTTCCATTTAGTTACGTGACAAGTGGTGGTGCTCTCAACTTTTTTGTGTTCGGTTATTGGTATGTCTATGTAAGTTTATTTTATGTCTGATGAACTTGCTGAGCTGGTTTACCAGCATGAGTGCTTGACACAGCAAAAGGAAATTCGTAGGAGAAGGAAGACAAAGAAGGTGTAAAACATCTTGCTAATGACTTTCAGAGCTGATTAAGGATAATAAGATTAATTTTTCTAAATCCCTGACTTTTGAGGAGAGAAAATTTTATGGTATCTGTTGTGTTAGATTTTTTTCAAAGTAATTTTCTGAAAGTGATTGCCTTCTAGCATACTTCAAAATACCTCTGTAATTGCATGTCTGACTTCTCTATGTTATACAGAATACAGATAATACAGAATATAGATAATACACATTTGACACTGTACAAGAATTATTAGGGTTATATATAAATAACCCTATTATTTAAAGACATAAATATGGGAACTGCATATAGTAACATAGTTTCTACAGCAGTGGAAGGCTGTCTCTTTTGCTGTCATTTTGACTGTATTTGCTAGAATATCTTGGTGCCTTTGGCCAAGCTGTGTTGATTTTTCTTCAGTGATTATTAGGTATCAAGTCTATAAGCTCTGTCAGGAGAAAGCCTGTCAGGAAAGCTCTGTCAGGAAAGCCTGCTTGCATTGCTGATGAATTACTACAGTTCAGGACAGACAGAAGAGAAAACCAGACATTGATTGCTGTCATCCATTCCTGTGTGTTGGGGAAATAAGATGTGCAGATTGGACAGAGAAGGAGGGAAATATTTTGCTGGTGGGGAAGTGAAAATATATAGTGAAACAAATATCCTTTTTAACGACTCTGCTCAGTTCAGGGATTTTGGACATTAGTGCTTTAAAAGCATGGGGAAAAGAGGTGATATGAAGGAGGAAAACCAACTAGCTATGACACTGTCATTTTCTTCAGTGCATGAGAGCATTTTTCTGACAGATTGCTTTTCTGTAAATCCTGTTCTATGCACAGCACATGAGGATTTCAGTTACAGAGAGATGGTTTTGACATCAACATATGTTAGACAATTGTGTTCGTGAGCACTTGAGCTAGTCTTCTGGGTCTGCAGTTAGCCCTTGGGTAAGGGGACTACATTGTTTCTAGAGACTCTTAAGTCTTTTAGCTTGTAGTGTTCTGAGGGTTTCTTTTTTAAAAGAAGTGCTTTGCTTTTCTCATGTAACTCTGTATCACTGTTTTCTAGCTGTAGTTTTTATTTAGACTATCAAAAATGGAATGGAGTAGATGTTGAAAATAGCAGAAACGTACTTTTCTGTCGGCATTTTGCAAGAGTGGGGTTTCCTCTCCATCTTTAAGAAATCTGTTGATGTCTCAAACTACATTATTTTTTGCAGAGTTCATACCATGTTGAATATTAATCCTGTTTACAAAAGTTGCTTATTCAGTCCTTTGGATTTGATGAGCTTTAACGGCTTCTGCTTAGTTGTCTGTTACTTAAGCAGTGTTTTCTTGAAGAGTGCTGTCTGGTGATGTCTTTCTGATTAGAGCCTTATGTAGTGTGCAGCAAAAGCTTCTGGGGAGATGAAAGGGATGTTCCAATATTTTTAAAAAACCTTACTTTCATGTTCACAGTAAGATTTGTTGATCCTGGCCTAGAGTTGACACATTTATATTTTATGGAGAAATACCAGCGTTTGGACCAAGGAAATCAGAGCTTTAAATTACTCCAGTTGAGAGGGAGGCAGGAGGAAACATAAGGATTCAGCATAAAGGGTTGCTACCTCAGTGCACGTTTGTTGACTTTTCTCCCACTCCCACTTTTCTCCCAGCCATCTGAGTAAAAGTAGGATTCTTGACAAAAATACTTAGTTTGAGTCATAAACAAGTTCACCCCAATTCTAAGGTGAAGTAGGAGATGTGACAGCATTCACAGGAGCAGAACACTCGCATTGAGTCACATGCCTTAGGCCTTGGCAGTAGGCTTTAAATTTGGCATAAGTGATGGTGGTTTGGGTTTCTTCTGTACTCAAAAAAAGATTTCTGTTAGCTAGGAAGATGTGAGCATGTGATTGTGGGGAGTTACACTGCAATCATCAGGTCTGTGAGGAGAAAAATGTCAGATAAACAATTAAACAGTTCCCAGTCTGCTTTCAATATGAATTATAAACTTTCATTTCTGACCTCAAACCTTCTTATTGCTGCAAGTTGCTGAGACCTCCAGCAAGTTTCCTGTAAGTGAAGGTATGCTGGTATTCATAAAAATAAAATTGGTAAGAAACGGAAGATTTCAGCATCAGGCTATGACAGTGCCATTGTGTTAATTTATATCTTCTGTGAGAATATTTTTTACTCCTGATTTTCTGTAATGAAATGACATTTGCTCCTTCCATTCCAGATACTGATTAGTGCAGTCCATGATTGTTCCTGTTTGTCATCTAGGCTGGCACCAGTCTATCCTTTGCATTTTTTAGTATGCCCTTCCCCCCTCCCCCAACATGTACTCTCTATGTTCACTTCCCTTTTCTCACCAGTGTTACTTAGAAGTTGAAGATAGTTCTCTAAACACTGGGGACTCCACCTTTTTCTGTCTTCATTGTGGCAATCCTTAACTGCTGTGTCGAACTCTGCTGTGTCTGTGAGCAAAATGCCAAAGTACAAACGGCACTCTTGTAAAAAGTATTTCCAATACTTTTTTTTGTACCTGTTTGGAGGCCTGTGCGCAAAGCACCATGTTTTCCAATTCTGAATGCTACAGGCCTGGGCCAGAGAGGCTACAAAGCTTCCCAGAGGAAAAGGACCTGAGGGAGTTGTTGACAGCTTTATAAACATGAGCTAGCCCAGGTAGCCAAGAAGTCCCCTGGCATCCTGGCCTGCATGAAAAGTGGTGTGGGCAGCAGACAGTATCTGTCTCCCTGTAC